TCTAAGCATTGGGGGTCACCAGTGGGATGCTATTCAGGAGGTGGGGGGAGACAGATGATAAAGAAGAAAAATAAAAACCACAAGTCCATGGGGTGTCAGGGAAAATCAAAGCAGGGAAGGGGGTGGGGGTGGGGTGTACTAATAAACAGAATGAGTGGTTAGGGAAGCCCCCCCCCCATGACCATGAGAAAGATGTGAAGGGAAGGGAAGCAGGAGCCATGTGGATATGTGGGGAAGGACTTTCAGGCGGACGGGAACAGCAGGTGCAAAGGCCCTGGGGCGGGAGCCGCCTGCTGTGTTTGAGGAACCGTGGGAAGGCATGGTGGCTAGAGGGGAGCAGGCCAAGGCACCTGAGGTTAGTGCGGTTCACATGTGTATGACAACCTGATGCCCGGCTGTCTCTACTCTAGGACACCAGCCGGGCGTGTCCCCACAGTCCCTCCAGCATGGAGAACAGCGTCTGTCCTGGGCAGAACCACAACCACAAATACCCATCCTATGAATGAATCAAACCGTATAAGCAGGAACTCGGTGTCCACATGAAAAGCAGGAAGGAGAAAAAAAAAAAAAAGCCCAGCCTCAAACCATACACAAAAATCAATGTCGATACCCTCATGGCATCAGGAGTTTCTGAAACGAGACACCAAAGGCTGTCATCAAAAGGAAAAGCCGAAAACATTCAACAGAATTAGAAATAACTTCTGTTCATCAGCGGAGCATTTGAAGAGGGAGAACCAGCCAACAGCAGGAGGTGCCTTTGCCACGCGTGTAACCGACAGGGACGATCTGCAGAGCTCGAGACCCCCAGGACGGCTTGGCGGGGAAACTGCACTCGGGCCCCACAAGGGAGGAAGCCCGAGCAGGCGCCATCCGGGGAAGGGCACTTCGTGCCACCCCAGACATCCCCGTGCCCCCCGCCTGATGGTGCCAAGGGTCAGGAGGCTGTGAAGACGCAGGGACTCCACGTGCTGCTGGGACGGGGACGTGACAGGCAGAAGCACCCAGGAGAATGTGGCCTGATCTTCTAAAGCTGCCCACAAGTGTGCCCTGTGCCCCTGCAGCGCTGCCCTCGGGGACACCCCCCAGACACGCAGCCCGCGGTCCCCACAGCACCTGGACGGGAGCTTCATCCTCGCCGGTCGGGGCTGGAAGCCACCCAGACTCCCATCAATGAAGAACAAGATTGAAGTGATTTCGCTCACACATGCCATTCATTCCCCAAGACAGCCGGCGACAGACAGCTCCGCTCGCCAGCAAGGGCGACTCTCGCCAGCGGGGTGATTGGCGGAAGGGCCGGCCTGAAAGCCGCGGGGAAAGCCTCCGCGTAGGTGAGGTCACAGTCCCGGCAAGTGGGACTGTTGCTCAGGGGTGCTGTCCTGCGGGGCCAAGCCATGAAGAAAGCAGGACCGCTTGTCACAGAAGTCGGGACTCTGGAGACCCCAGGGGAGCTGGACGGGGCTGTGCTCGGGGCAGGGTCTCGGGAGGCACGTGGGGGGCTGGCCGCGCTCAACGTCACCAGAGCGGTGGTCACCAAGTGGCAGAACTCAGCTTCCGGATATTGATTACTTTTTCTGGATGCTTATCACAGCTCACAACTTTGAAAAATTCTATTTTGGGGACAGGGGTGGACGCGTGCCGGGAATAGCTCTGGGTCTCCCGGGCACCTCCTGAGTCCCAGGCCCCATGCGAGGCAACTGACCCGCTTTCCCGGATGACAGAGGAGGGGACTGCTGCTGACAGCGGAAGGAGCCGGCCCTGGCCGGGTGCAAAGAAAGCGGCCGCGCGGCAGGGGGTGAGGGAAGAGGGGCTCCGCTCAGAGGAAGGAAGAGGAGGGATTAACGTGGGGATTAGAGGTGGGCAGGCTCTGCAGAGCCCCAGCGGCTGGGACTTGCTAGTATCTGCAAATATTGGCGTGTCCCTGGAAGAGTTCTCCAAGCAGTCAGAGGCGGGCTAACTGAGGGAGCTGGGGCGGGGGGCAGGGGGCGCACAACAGGTGGCCGGACCTGAGGGGGCCCTACCTGCACCAGCCCTTGCCAGGGTCAGAGCCAGGCTGTGCTTGCGATGGGGTGGGCACAGGACACTCCAGGGGCCCAGGGGAGCCTCGGGGGCCCCCTCCCCGCCCCCCTCCCTGAAGGCATCCTGCTTCCTCGGGCCTTTGCTGCTCTTGGAAGGCCCTTTCTATCTGTCCTTGCAAAACTGCTCTTCTTCCTTCAACCCTGTGCTCACGTGTCCTTGCTTCCAGGAAGCCCACCTTGATTTGTCAGGCCAGGGTCTCCAGTCTGGGCTCCCTGGGAGGGTCTGCGGGTGGGGTTGTCCCTATTCTGCAGGGCTGGCCTGGGGCTTGCTGTGTCTCGGCGCCCAGCGTGGAAGTCGGCACACAGAGGGAATGAGCCCCCGGGTCGGGAGGGTCACAAGAGCCACAAAGAAGAGCTGACAGGGAGGACAAATAGTTTGTCATGTGGACAGGAAGGCAGGCGGGAGGGCATCCTGGGCAGAAGGAACCGCACGGGCAAAAGCAGAGAGGCGCGGCGGTGACGGCTCGCGTGGGACTCAGAGGCGGACTGCGGCGGGAGCCGGGCACCTGGGTTGAGGGCGGCGGCGGCGGGAGAGCCGCGCGGTGTGCCTGCCCACAGGGCGGCTGCAGAGGGTCCCAGGGGCTCGGCCCTTCCGCCCATTCCGACGTACTCACTGGACCTCCCACGAGCCATGCTGGGGGGCGGGGCGGGGCGGGGCAAAGAGCCTGCCCCCTCCATTCAGACCCCAGGTCTGGCCGAGCTCAGGGCTGGGAGGCGGGCCCGGCCCCGGCCCAGGCCCCGCCAGGGTCCCTTCGCTCAGACCAGAGATGCGTCTGCGGCTGTCTGGGGAGCCCACAGTCCCGAGCTTCTGGTGCCCCCCGGGGGCACCCCTGCCAGGCCCCCTGCTACAGGCAGGGTCCCAGGTGGGGGGCATCATGCTCCCAACAGTCTTGCACAGTGGGGGCGATGGGAACATGTACTTTACAGACATGAAAGCTGAGGTCCAGAGAGGGCCAGGGACTGGCCAGACACTGGGTCTGCGGGACCCCAGGCCCTGTGACTTCCCCGTGGGAGGCCTCCCTGACCCATGGTCCCCTCCCTCGCTCCCTCCGGGCCTCTGGGTGCCGGACCAGCACCCAGTGTGGGGCAGGGCGCTGTGTGGGGGCAGCTCCCGTGCCCCCTGGGAAGCAGGCTGGGAAGCGGCATGGGAAGGCCTTGAGGCACCTCTAAGAACGCCCACGGGGAGGGGGGCAGAGGAGGGCAGACCCTCCCCAGGTTGGGGAGGCGGCCTGGGGCCTGCCAGCTCCAGAACTCGGCCTCGGCCGCACGGCCACGTGGCCCAGGGAACGAGGACCCAGGCCCTGGCCTTTAGGGTCCGCCCGGGGAAGCCCGCCGGGCACGGGGACGCCTGGCGCCCTCCGCAGCTCGGGCAGGGGATCTGCTCACTGGGGTCACCGGCCCGCTGGGCTCAGCCACCCACCTCTGTCCCCACCTAGGCTGGGCTATGTCTCCGTCACTGTCACTCAAAGCACAGGAGGGGAGCTCAGGAGCCTTGGCTGGCGGGGGAGAGCGAAGGACAGAGAAAGCAGCAGGGAGCCACCCCACCCCTCAAGGCCGGCCTGGGGCGCCCCATGAAGGCCCCCTTTTGCCGAAGTCCCACCTTCCCCTCCCCCACCCCACGCCGTGGGGGTGTTGGGGAGAGGACAGCCAATGTGGGGTGCCTGTGGGGCCTGGCCTGGGGTCGGAGGCCGGAGCTCACCTGTGTGGCCAGAGCCAGCACTGCTGTTCCTGGGCTTCGTCAGTCCCCCCTCCCCCCAGACCTTGACCATGACAAGAGGGGCCTGGCTGACAGACGTCAAGTCTTGGGTGCCAGCAGCTTTGGCCTAACAGGCTAGACCCCCTCCTCCCAATGCAGGAAAAATGGGTCTTGGCCCCGGGGAACCCCCAAGAAAGGGCTGCACCCCAGCTCAGTGGCCAGGAGAATGCCGTGCTCTGGTGTCCAGCCTGGGGCCTCCGAGTGAGCCTACCTGTCCCCAGGCCCTCTGAGCACTGAGTTACCTGGGAGGCCCTGGCCCCTCGCCCGTGGACCCAGGAACCTGCCCTGGTACCAGCCAGGGCCCTGCTGGGTCCCTGACCCTCGGGGATCGCAGGCACCTGCTACCTCAAGCCCCTGCCCCCCACCCATGGATGTCAATTCTGGCCTGGAGGGGCAGAGGGCGCGGGCAGACCCTACCGGCCTGGGCTGGCGGGGCTGAAACCTAGAAGCAGAGCCGAGCTAGCTGCCCACACGACGCCTCGGCTCCGACTCCGGAAGGAAAACACGGGGGGGGGGGGGCGGGGGCGGTGTTCCCAAAGTGGGGGTCAGGGCGGCCGAGGGAAGTCTCGGAGGAAGTCATGAATATTCAAACCGGCTGATCCCTGGCCTGCAGCCGCGGAGCCCGGGGAGCACAGCAGGGCGAAAGTTTAGCGCCCGGAGGGAGGCGGCGGGGACGCTCCCCAGACGCCGTCGCGGGATACCCCCAAATGGCCCCAAGACGGGACTGCTCCGCCGGCGGCGAGGTCTCCATCCCCCGCCCCCACCAGGCGTAAACTTACAAGCCCAGAACCAGGCAACTGTCTGCTGGGGGGTGAGGGGACCAGCCGGCGCCGGAGACCCGAGTGGAGCAGCGGGAGCGGAAGCCCAGAGGGTCCCGCGGGACAATCCCGAGTCCGCGGTTGGGCACGCGGGGCCACGGAGGCCGCCGGCCCGGGCGGTGCACCCCCGCCCCCGCCGCAGCGGCCCCGGCCGGCCGGCCGCGGGGTCCTGGGCGGGGGCGCCCCATTGTCTCGCCGCGCACACACGCGCCACGCACGGCACCCCGGCCGGGCCCGCCGCGCCGCGGGCAGCTCCGGAGAGGCGCTCCCGCGCGGCCCTCGCCCCCCCGCCCTGCAGCGCCCCCGCCCCGACCCGGCCCGCGAGCCCGGCGCGGAAGGCGCTCCACTCACCTGAGTTTCTCCATGTCTGCGGCAGAGGCCTGCGAGAAACCAAACAGAGGGTCAGCGGGCAGGAGGCGTGCGCTCCGTGGCCGCGCCGGGCGGGGCCGGGCACCGCGGGCGCCGCGGGCGCGGCGGCGGGGCACCCCCGCGCCGCTCGCCCGGCGGGAAGCCCGGCCCGCGCGACCCCAGTCCCCACCGCCCAGCCGCGGTCCCTGGGACTCAGCGGGTGCGCCGGGCACCTGCCGAGTAACAGGTGAGCCCTCCCGGGCCGCCGCGCTCCCCGGCACGTAGTTACGCCCCCCCCACCCCGACCCTGGGAACGAGGGGGCTGGCCCGGGGACGCGGGGTGGCACGGCCCGGGGACTCCGGATGGCACAGCCGGGGCGCTCCGGAGCTCGCCAGAAAGAGGGGGACCTGCCTGGGTCCCGTTAACACTTCCGCGGCCGCGGCCCCCGCCGCTCGCACCCGCACCCCCACCCCCACCCCGGCCCCGCCCGTTAACCCTTGCAGCCCCGCGCTCCCTCCCGGAGGAAGCCGAGCCCCGGAATCGCAAAAGCTCCGAGTAGGAGAATGTTCGGATCTGGGGATCGGGGGCCATCCGAGATTGCAGGACCTGACGCTCCGAGAACCCGAGGGTGATGGCACTCGGGACTTCAGAGTCCTCAGTCAGGGGCCCCGCTGCCCTCGGATTCCGAGGCTCCGGGCCTGGCCCGCCCCTCCCGGGCCCGAGGGATTAACCCTTGCGCGCCCGACTCGCCCGTGGGGCTCCCTGCCGGGCTTGCGCAGACCCGCAGGCGAGCGCCTCGGAGACCCTCCCCACCTAGCCCCGCGCAGCCGGGCAGCTCCTGCGCGCGGGGCGGGGGGGCCCACCCGGTGCCGTTAACCCTGCGGGCGCTGGCGAACGACCGGGACCGCGAGCGGCCCGGGCGGGATCGCACTTCCTGCGCGGAGCGGGGGGCACGGGGCTGGCTCTCCATCACTCGGGAGAGGCCGCTCCCGGGGGCTTCCCCCCCCCCGTCCTTCCGTGCCAGGACGGCCATGAAAGGGGGACGGGGGGCTCAGGCCAGGGACCCCCCCGACACACCTGGGAAGACTGATGACTGCCCATCCCGGCCCCTCGCGCCGCGTCCGCCGGGAGCGCGCTCCGCTCCGGTCCGGGCCCCACGCCGCCTCCCCCACCGCCCCGCCGGGCGAGGGCGCAGCCCGGCTGTCAGCGCCGAGCTGGGAGGCCCGGCCCGGGCGCCTCGGCCGGGCTCGGCCGCCAACTCCCCGGGCGCCCAGGCAGGCCTTCCCGGGAGTCCCCGGCCTCAGTGTCCTCACCTGCACTGTGGCCGGGGGACGGGGAGAGCGGACGGAGCGCCCCGCCGCCCGGCAGCGCCGCGGGCTGCGGTGGGGGAAGGAATTTCAGCAGAAAGGACCCACAAGGGGCCCCGACTGGCAGCCGCACGCAGTGCCCGACGCTCTGAAAGTTGGTTGCGACCGCGAGCCTGGACCCCATCCGCGCCTCCTTGGCCCCCAAGCCGAGGAGCTGGCTGCTCAGCCCACGCTTCCCCCAAGCCCCCTGCGCGCCCCAGGCCCACCTTTCCCACGCTCCCATCACCGTGCTCCGCGCACTGGATCCCAGCATACAGCAGGCGCTCAATAGACACGGACAGTTCATGCCTGGCTCCCACAGCACCGTGGCGTCTCTTTTCTGGCCGCTTCCCTTCGGGCGCCGAGTTCCCGGCAGGAGCCCTGTCCCTTCTCCAGGGCCCCCCCACAGTGCCCAGCAGGCCTGGCCTCCCCCTGGCCAGCACGCACGGTGGGAGGAGCCCTGTGTTCGGAGAGTCAACCCCAAGCGGGTCAGACCCAGCCCAGGTCCAAATGCGCCTTCGTCCCGCCTGGAAGGCGAATCCCGCTCATTCCCTAGCTCTGGGCTAACCTCTCAGGGTGGGGAGGGGGCAGCAACGGGGGTGAGACACGGAACCCCCACGCCAGTCCCTGAGAGTGCACCGCCAGCAGAATGGCAAAAGTAAGGCCGCCTCCGCCCACCACCCCTCAGGCAGTTCCTAGCAGGTCCGGGGGCCCAGCCGGCCTTGGTCAGTCTGTTCCACCGCAGAGCAAAGCATCGCACGGGGAGCGGAGCCCCGCTGGGCCTGGACCCCGGTCCTCGGAGGCTGGGGACATCCGTCATGTCTCCAGTTGCCTCCGTCACTCACTGTGAATGACCTGCCAGGGCGTTTGTCTAAAATTAATAAGAATGTATTAAAATTTAATTTTAAAAATCTAGAATTAATTATTTATAGAGTGTTTCGGCTCCTCTAAAGGGCCTGTCTGGGAATTTCTCCCCCAAGAAGGGCCCCCACGAAAAGCTGCTGAGTTGCCCTGATGGCGGGGTGGGGGGCGGGCGGGGCAGGAGGTGGGAAAGGCAGGGAGTCTCTGCCCTGGTGCCCCGGCAGCCCTCCCTTCACGCTGCTGGTCCGGAAGCCCGACTCTGACCCTGACTTCTCAAATTCTCCCCAACCCCAGTGTCTGTGGGGTAACCACTGCCCATACATTTAAAGGCCACCTCCTCCAGGCAGCTCTCCAGGGACACCCAGCAGAGTTTTTGGGTTAAGACTTCCATACCCCCTGTGCCCTCCCTGGGGCCAGCCGAGAACCTCACCCAATGGTGAGGGCGTGCGTGAAGCCCGCTCGGTGTGTGCTGACGAGCTGTGTGGCTGTGGGGGGAAGCACCCTCTGGGGAGGTGCTGCACCTTTGGGCAAAGCGCAAGTCTTAACTGCAACTCGTACCCACAGACTTGGGGATGTTCCCGAGATGCCCTCCCTGTGGGTGAGGAATCCAAGGCCAGGGCGCGGGACGGGCCGCTCGCAGTCCGGGGGCTGGTGGAGGGCTTCCTGCGGGCTGGGCGCAGGGGACTGGGGTCCTGCCAGCGTCTTGGGCCAGAGGTGGGGGCTGTGCGTGGAGGCCCGGGGGCTGTCCAGGGTCTCCAGGGTGAGATGATAACGCAGGACATGCCCCCGAGCCCCTCCAGGACCCCCAGGAAAGTGGGACCCCCTGCTCTCCTGACTCAGGTGGGCACTCTGGGTGGTCTTAGAAGGACAGTCCGTTCCTGCTTCGGCCCTGTCCCTCCAGCCCACTGCACAGTCACAGCCTGACGCCGCCCCCGGCAGCGCACCTGGGCCTGCATGCCGGTCTGCCCTGAGCTCGGCCCCTGTCCCCTCCGGGCGGCCCAGCCCACCAATCCCCTTTATTTCCCAACCGTGCCACACAAGCCCTGCTTTTTGGTCAGACCGCACCGTGCCCCGCGTCCCGGCTTCAGCCCGCCGGCTGCCCCGACCGACCGGTCCCTCGGCCACCAGCGCCGCCCCTCCCACGCCCTGAGTTCCATTCTCAGCGTCCTGGCCACCGCCACGGCCTCCTCTGCCTCTTCCGCACCTGCTTGCTTCCTCCCTCGTTCCCCGTGTGACTCGGAGCTTCAGGGGGGCCATGCGGGTCAGAAACAGGCCCATCCCCCCTTGTCCGCCGGTGCTGTCCCACGCACAGCCTCTGCCCCGGTGACGGAACTCAGTCCCGTTGAACCGTCCCTGGGACTTTCGGAGGTGGGTCTTTTAACACCCATTTCACAGATGCAAAAACAGAGGCTCCAGGAGGCAAAGCCCGGCGACTCCCGTGCCGCAGTGCGATCAGGGGCCAGGGCGCTTGCCCATCCTCCCAGGGCACCTGGGCACGGCCCTGGAGGTGCACAGTTGGCCCCTCAGCGAAGCCACCTGTCAGGCCCCAGGCAGGGGCTGGCGAATCCTGACTCAGCTCCGCCTCGCTCTCTGGCCCCTGTGCCGCCCCCCTCACTTGGCTGCAATGGCCGAGATCACCCAGCGCACTCCTGCCTCAGGGCCTTCGCTCAGCTGGGCCTTTCTTCGCTGGCCTCTCCTCTGAAGTCGCCCCTCACCCACCAAACGACTTCTCATCACCCTCCATCTCTCTGGACCCACCCATTTTGGCCGTCAGCCTGTCCTAGCCCCGCCCCCGCCCCCAGCTCTAAGGACCCAGGACAGCAGGGTCCCCCAGGGCCTGGCACAGAGGCCTCCACAGGGTGCAGGTGGGGATAGCCGCTCCTTATCCCCAGCCGGAGGCGTCTGCACTCCGCAGGGAGCGCCGGCCCATGCCCCCCCCAGCCTGCCCCACCCTGAGGGGCACCTGAGCAGGACTGGGGCCCAGGGCCCGCGCTCCCAGGAAGCCCTTCTGGGGACGTGGGGTCTATTGAACCGTCTCCTACGCGGCTGTGTGACCTCGGGCAAGGCTCTCGGCCTCTCTGAGCTCAGTCATCTAGGGAGGGTGGACAATTTGTAAAGGACACTGTACGTGACAAGGCGGACATATGTGTAAGGGGCCGTCTCGGGAACAGGGCTTCTAAAGGGCTGTGGCTGCTCAGAGAGCCAGCCTCACCATGTGCTCCGCGGGTGGACCCCTTCTGGGAGGCTCACGCTTCTGCGCGCCTTCCCGCGCCCATTCAGCGAACCCTCGCGCGCCGGGTGCTCTGGGGGTGCAGCCGTGAACGAAATGGAGGAAGTGTTCCTCTCTCCCAGCGCTGACGCTCCCCAGGGGGACAGGTTACAGGAGACATCAGCGAGTGTCCCTCGGCCATGCGTCTGCTGGGAGAACCTGCTGAGGAGGGGAGGGCGGGGGTCCCCGGGGTTGCCACTGCCAACAGGGGAAGTGAGGACGAAACCTGAGCAAAGCCGGGAAGCTGCGGGGCAGGGCGGGCGCTAGGGGTGCTGCGGTGCCTCGCGAGTTTGGGGAGCACCTGATCGCCAGGGGGAGCAGGGGCTGAATGGAGGGCCTCCTGGGACATGGGTCATCGTCAGGACTTGGGTTTCTGTCTGGAGGCGGGTGGAAGTCCCGCAGGGCTGGACGGAGGTGCGTCCGCCACGCTGCTGAGTGGGGATGCGCCGGGGCTGAGGGCGGGGCTTGCCGGAGCCGTCCGCGGAGGTGCCGGCCCAGTCCTGTCACGTGGGGACCAGGGCGAAGGCGGGAGACGCCCTGACCGACAGAGGCGGGTGCTGAAGAAAGAGCCACCGACGATGACACTGCATCCTTGACCTGAGCAACTGAGCAAGAGCTTGGGAGGAGATGGGCATTCGGGTCCAGAGGCGTCTATGAGACGTCCGGCCGGGGCGGCGACAAGGGGGTGGGTACCTGAGTTTGAAGGGCAGAGGACGGACCAGCAGATGTGAACCTGGGAGCCGTCGGCGTAAGGACAGCACCTAAAGCCACAGCACCGGATGAGGTCGCGAAGGGAGCAAGCGTAGATGGAGGACGGGGCAGGGGGATCAGCCAAGGTTCAGGGAGGGGGCAGAGCCCACCACGGAGGCCAGGGAGCTGGCAGGGAGGTGGGAGGAGAGTGGGTGCTCCCAGGAGGAGGGAGAGACCCTCGGTGTGACAGACTGTCGTGGGAGAGAAGCTGGCCTCGTGTGCCCGAGCATCGCCCACAGGGCTAGCCTATGCCGGACACACGGAGGGCCGCCCCGCAGTACCTTAGCTGCCATGCCAGGGTGAGCTGGTGGGCTCTCTGCGCGTGGCCAGCAGGAGAGGGGCAAGCGCACGCCCAATGTCACCCAGCAGGTTGGGGGCCTGAACGCAGGCCCTGGTCTCAGGGTCCCTGGGCCACTCCGCCCGTGGGCTCTATGCGGTCCCCGCAGGTTCCGGCTGTGTGCGGCGGCAGGCGGGCTAGGCCCGTGGCTGCGAACTGGCCCCCCAAGCTAAACCTGGCCCGCCAGCGTGTTGTATTTGGCCTGTGAGAAGGTTTTAACTGTTTCTAAAAGGAAAAAAATTTGAGGCAACATTTAAAAATTGGGAGAGTTTACATTTCAAAATCAGTAGTATTTTTGGCTTCTACTGGAGTTTTGGAAGATCTGGCAACTCCTGCCCACGTTCCCACGTGGAAACGGCTGGCGAGCGGGAAGCAGCTGCCCCTCCAGAGGCGGGAACGGCGCTGTCCAGCCTCTAAGCCCGTCCTGCAGGTGAGGAGCCGGGGCTCCGAGGGCCGCGTGCCGCGTGGAGGTCCCTCAGCGGGAAAGCCCCTCGGGCAGGAGCTGCCTGTAGCTCTGGGGGCCGCCCGGCCTGGCCCTGGGGGCCTTGGCG